TGACTACAAAAATTCCCGTTCTTTTAAACAGAAACACTCTGGGCTAAGCCCAATCGAAATTATTTTTATATTAAACCCTAAAACAAAATTTGATTTACTTAAACCGAAAGTGAATAATAGCTTTAAATTTGCACAGAATTATGATTTTATATAACCTTTATGCCTTTCAATGGAAGAATTAGAAATGAATGCAGATGAATAGTAGAAAGTAGAAACAATTGAAAGGCATGTGAGGCGAATTACCGATAATGTAAATATCGAATGGAAATTAAAGGGTGGCTATTATTGAAAATAACACTGAGCGCAGCATACATATCAACATTACAATCATGTTTCCCAGCCACCGCTCCATAGGCAAAGTATTAACTCGCCAAAAAATCTAACGTAACTACAGCTAGCTCTCCATTTTTTATCCAACTAGGCCATACCTGATAATCAAGTAGCTTGTAACTCCAATAGCACACTTACATTGTGTAAAAATAGTAAAATTAGTTTTTTTGTAAATGTTTGATGTAATAAATAACTGTAAATACTGCTCAAAGCATCCACATCTCTTTTATGGTTAATACAGTTGGCACACTGATGAATATAGCACATTTCTAGGAACCTACGTTTATAGCCATTCTTTTCAGCATCTAGAATATAAGGATTGTTCTATGTTACTTGGTGGTCATGGTTATTCACATAGGAACTGAAGCTAGTAATCTTGGGCTTATGTTTACAGTCACTTTTATGTACTGTAATTCTTTTTTTTTTTAATTTGAGATGTTTGCCTTATGTAAAGTTTCTCACATTCACATTGAAATCCTTAGACGACATAGGACTTTCTATTTATTGGCGTGATGTCTTTTAGTTGAGAATAATCTGAGCGACCTACTATTATATTTTGCCATCTTCATATTTGAAGGCTGAAAGAGCCGCACAAGTGATGGCCTTAATTTGTTAATGTACATGAGTTTACCAAATTTAACTTCTAAATTTGTCAGCCAATCCTCCTGCACATGACGTGGGGGGAGGGTCCTGTAGTGTAGGCCTCACAGAATAAAAGTTTATTAATTAACCTGATGGAATATTTATTGTCCACAAGAAGAGTTCTCAATAACAGTAAGTTAAAAAGTTAGAAAGAACGGTGACAGATCTTGTAAACCCAAAAGAGCATTGATTTTTTGGTTCATGGGGTGGTGGGAAGAGAAGGGGATATATCTACCAGAGCTGAACGCTTTACGATACCAATCTAAAATAATGACATTGTCCATCGTCCGAATAGCTTTTGAGTCTAAGAAAGCCACCGAACAAGCAGATTCCGTCTCCACAGTAAACACCAGACACGGATTAGATTAATTAAAAATGTTAAGTGTTGCATTGAATGAATTTTTGGGAAGTACATCAAACAAATCATCCACATATTGGCATAAAGGTGGGAATTTATAGTCAACTTTATCTACAACGAAATATAATAATTTATTCATCACAATTTCCACGATCACTAGGGAGGCGGCACCACCCATCCGAAGAACCTTAATTTGTTGATAGTAATCGTTGTTAAATGTGAAAAAAGTGTTACTATATAGGAAGCGAATCATATCAATAAACTGTTTTTTCGGAATATTACAATTGGGTTCAATCAAATTGAAATGCTCGTCTAAAATTGCCAATACTAACTCTAGGGTGATATTCGTAAAAAGAGACACCACATCAAAAGAAGCAAGCACAAAGCCCTGAGGTATTTGAACACCGTTAACAAGTTCGTCAAATTCGAACGTGTTTCTAATTCTAAATTTATTGAATTCAGCGAGAGGCGCTCAAAATCTGACCAACGAAACATGTCAATGGCTGTGTAGTTTCTCCGACACAGGACACTATGGGACACAGTGGGCAGTCCTCTTAATGGATTTTCGGTAAGCCATAATACTTAGGGCTTGTTCTTTATTTTTTTTCACTGATGTTGACGATGTAGGGTCTCTATGGACTGGAATATACATGGCATTATCTCCTAGGAGTTCCAATAATTTTTGTATATATGATTCTCTAGACATGGTAACCATGACATTGCCCTTGTCAGACTTGGTAGTTAGTAGGTTAGAATTAGCTTTCAGAAATTCCCTTGTCCATCTCTTAATGTCATATGTCGGCGCACGTGTTACTATTAATATAATTACCAATGAGGTTTGTGACCCTTGAGCGAACCAGGTCTCTATGCTGTTTGCAAATATTTTGAATGAGAGATCTGTAAGTAATTTGAAAATATTAATGTCCCTTGGTGGAATAGGGAGGCTAAATTTAGGACCTATGGCTAGAAAACCACAAACTTCAGCAGGTATTTTTTGTGCTAGAAATGTTCTTAAACCATTTAACATAATCGGCAAAGAAAATGAATCTTCGGCCTGCCTAAGTCCTTTGATCTTTTTTAAATTATTCCCCTTAATTTTATTAAAAATCGAATTGAATTGAATGTTCTGTGTGAATAAAAAATCATCTAAAATATTAAAAGGAAGGTTCTTTCCACGTAGAAAGTCTGATAAACCGGTCACAATCTGCGGTAGACATGTTGTGCATTTTTTTAGTTACCTTTTGTGCTAGAAATTCAAGTTGTCTATGGTTAGTGTTGTTCAGTCGTTGAAGTATGCGCCACAAGTGTTGTGTGCCATCTTGTAGGTATCTGGGAGTCACGACGTCAGTGCCATATGTGATTCCATTCCTCCGATAGAATTATCCCATTCTTACTCCTAGAAGCAAAGTGTAAATACAGTAAGGGGCTACTGGTAACTTGTTGCACAAAATAACTACGGGATCGCCCAATATTGACTAATATAGAGGGAGCAATAAAAGATGTAAATGCTCATTACTCTTTTTATTGTTAAGTCAAGCTTTCGCCCAATTATTTAGGCTTTCTCAGGACACTAAAATGTAAAAGGGAAACACTCTATCACAAAAATAAGAAAAACTCACTGGGCTTGTCAATACATACATCAGCAGAGGGGCACAGTACCCCTTGCACAAACAGAGAACCACGTGTTAGCCATTAAAGTAAAGGCTGCACAGATTAAAATAGTAAAACAAAGGAAACTTATGCCTAGACAACGAGTCACTAATTAATAAGTAAAATAACCGGAAACGACAAAGACCCAACAAAAATGCAACCCAATTCGATTCTGTAGGGGATAATCTGCTCAACGGCATTTAAAAAGAAAAACAGACAAATTTAACAGTTGGGAAAATGGTCAGGCACATATAAAGAAAACGACATATCAAAGAACCAAAGACTCACCACGTTACAAAACCAAAAAATAAAAAGCAAAAAACCCACCAACGACCTTTAACTTCGAACTTACGTTTAACTACGCTGAAAAAAGTACTTTCCAACTATATTAAATAATCATTCTCATCTCCTAATGATAAAAATATTAAAAACTAAATATGAAGCTGGTAAAAACCTTTTACAGTATGTTACAACTTTACTGGATAAAGTTAGGACAAAGATTGTTGATTCTGGTATTCCAAAGTCTTTATTGGATGAGGCCTTAAAGTGTTGTATGAACTAAGTCGGACTCCAAATAGGGCGATAGTTAGAGTAGTGCCACCCTCTACAATTTGGCATGGGTGAAAATCTAAGCAAGCTTCAGCCTGGTATATTACTCTACCAAAGAATAATAGGTTAGATGCTAAATCAAAAACCAAAAAAATAACAATCAAATCTTTATGCCTATATGTGGCAATTTAGAGAATATCACCAACAAATGTAAAATCATGTTTAATCCCCATTTCTCAAATTGGAATCCTTTCATACAGAGGCTTGAGAGAAAAATGACAACACTGTATAATCAAACTAATGTCTAGGCCGCTAGCTTGCTTTTTCCAGAGCACTAGTTAAATCTTCTAGTTCTACAGGAATATTCTAAAATAACATTAACATAATTGAAATTTATTAATACCTATATACTCGATACTAATAATTTATCTACCTTGAAGCAGATCTATTCTATAAATTCCCTCAAGTTCCTTTCTCTCTCAGACATGCTTGCAACTCTTAATATTTCCGCCTTGTGGTTGGTCCTCCAAGTGTTTATGATTGTGTTGTCCCTTCCTGATGCTTAACATTTTGTTTCTGTACATTTAAGATATTATTTTCCAATAACTGAAATTTACATATATTTATTAATCTACAACCTACAAAGGATAAAAATATAAAATGCGACATTTTTTGCGATAAACATGCAAAATGCCTCTTTTGAGCTATTATAAAATATTAAATCAATTTTACCTCGTGGAAAACTATTCGTTGAGGAGTTTTGATACCCCACCACCCTATGAATTTACCTTCTAAAATTAATTGCATTCCGGCTTTTAAACATTTAAACTATTAAATTTGATATCTCTATACAAATTGCTGGCTCTAACCTAAACAGTCTGTTTATCAATTATGTCTCAGCAGAGACTAGACGCTTTTGATACAGACTTGGTCTGCTGCCCGATTTCTTGCAATTAAAAACTCCTTTTTATACAGTGACCAAGCATAGGTATTATTTTTCTTTCCATGGTTAATTTAAGGCGTGCCTAGAGTTGTGTCAATTCGTCTTGCGGAATACGGTTCTTTTGAATTGTTACAGATTGAAATGAATGACAGAAACAGACTATAGAAAAGGAATTTGAGTATTGTTATAATATTTGTATATTATTGAGTTGCGATATCCTTGGTGGATTTACTTATGTGTTGAATTGAATATTGAATGAACTATCTATTTTCAGTCAGGTATTTAATTTACAGAAATTAATGTATTACTCGTCCAACCCAATACGTATCAATTATATTGATGATGCAGTAAAAAGCAGAAGACAGCTAACTATTATTATAGCTCAAACAGAAAATGTAGACACAACAATAATTCAAATTCAAATGAATCCGATTGAAAAGATTCGTAATCGATCACTGATTGATTCGGTTGTCGTAAAATGAACGGTTCACACAACACTAACGACGCAATGACACCATCCTTGCGATCCCGGTGTAGGCGCAAGGATAGTGAAAAAGAGCAAGTGTGGCAACACCACTACTCGTAATCTCTGTAAGCACAGGTGTAGTAAAATTATTTAATTGAAAAAACCTGTTCACCTTCAGCACACTTAGTGTACATCTGTAAGATACAGAAGAAATTGCACAACATTTAAAAAAAAAGCAATTTGGCAAGAGAAGGAAATTTACTTTGACAATTAGACTGCCACATTTTCGAAGTTATTTATATTATTGGAAAAGTATCTGATGAAAATTACAAGTATGTTTTTTATATAGTGTGCCGATTACTGCTGTTATAGTTAAAGTCTTATTTTAGTGGATACCACCTGGAAATGGCAATGTATCAAAATTTATAAAAGAAAAGCACCAGAAGAAAATACTAAAAAGTAAGAAATTTCTTTTGAAATTGAATTAAATTTCCCATATCCCTTTATTTCTACCTTTGTTTTTAGGATAAATAAGTTGGTCAGCAAAAGTTGTGCTTGTAGAAGAGATTATCATGAAAAGATATTAAAAGGGATTAGTGAAGTGTAAGTGCTTTTCTTTATTGCAAGCTTTTTTGTTAATGTATTTTTTAGTCAACCACACACTAGTTCCAAGTGCAAATGTAAGATACATTTTAATAGGAGAATGGTTAAAGAAAAGACTGGGTGAGTAAATAGTTTTTGTTATTACTTGTTTAGTTTTCACAAATTTACTCCGTATGAAATTTCTAAGCTTAACTGCTGTGCCCGCTACTGCTCTATGGCTCATAAACCACTTAACAACATGGTAGAATGCTCTGACAACCTTGTTAAAAAAGTTACATTAAATTCTCTATTAAAAAGGTTTGTTTGTCAACACTTGTTATTTTTGTCTATTAAAACACATTGAAATTTAGTTAATTGAAAATATTAATATATTAAGACAAAATACCAAAAAGTCAATTCTAAACATATATAGTTCTGAGCAACAGCTCATAATACTTGCAAAATACTACTAAATATTTCTTATCCATATGTAAGCATTAAGTAAGTGTAGTGGTAGTCAAGAAATCTTTAGGTGAAGGAGTTCTCTTTAATTATGTTCTAACCAATACAATCTTTATTTTGTTTCTGTTTAATCATAGTTTTCTTTCAAACCAAGTTTATGTTTATGAAAAATGTATTTGCGATTGAAGCAAGCTTTGGGATGTCTGAGCTATATTATGTTGTCCACATACTGAGGCTGGAAAACCAAATTTTCTGTCAATACATTTTTTTTGGAAAATACTTCCTAATAGAAGTAGAATGTCAGTTTTATGTCTATTTTACCGATATGGACAACTTCATATCAGTTTTGATTGGAAAATATATATATATATATATATATATATATATATATATATATATATATATATATATATATATATATATATATATATATGATGACACTATATTCCGGGATATCATCCGTTCGCTTGTTGAACTCCGACTGGAATCCTGCAGACGTCTGCAGGATTCCAGTCGACAATATAGTGTCATCACATTTTTCCATCCGTGAATCAATACGTGAAAAAATATATATATATATATATATATATATATATATATATATATATATATATATATATATATATATATATATATATATATATATATATATATATACACATATACATATACATATATATATATATATATATATATATATATATATATATATATATATATATATATATATATATATATACATATCCTGCTTATTTTTATACATACACAGAAGTTGAATTTGTCATAATTGAGTGTAGGATAAAAGGGTTGATTCTATTGACTTGTGTATTGTATTATATAAAAGCCTTAATATTTTTTATTCTGGTCTTCTTCGATTTTTTACAAAATAAAAATACTTTAGCTTTTTAGTAAATTTTTAAAGGGCTGTATTGCAAGAACTGATTGTAGGCAAGAAAAGTTGTTTAGAATTCTTTAGTGAGTTCAAAAAGTAAGGAAGTTACATATGTAATAAAATTGAGGTTATTTCTGGTGAACTGAAAACGGCATTCAATTGTTTTTATGCTACAGATATTCACAATAATCAACCCTTTGAAATTACCAAATTGCATATTTTTATCTCAACCTATAGTAGTTTCATATCCACCTCTTTTGAGCAGTTTGTCTGCAAATATCTATAGAACTGGTGAAATAATCTACAATAAAGGCTTTTGACGTTTGATAAAGCGCAAGTCCCATTTGTTTAAGAAACACTTTTAAATTTCTAAAACTAAGTGTTAAAATTAAGTGTTATTTTGTATTAGTGTCTGTTATAATTATGAAAGTATTTTTTAGTAAACAGATTATCAATTTGAAGTGCAAATGTCTTAAAATTTTTAAAGGAAACATACCAGAGAAACATATAAAAAAGTAAGAATTTTGTTTTGAAATTGAGTTTGCATTTCTTATATTCTTTTTTTCTACTTTTCTTTTTAGGAAAAGTAAGTTTGTCAGCAAAAGTTGTACTTGTAGAAGAGATGTTCATGAAAAGAGATTTGGAGGAATTAGTGAAGTGTAAGTGCTTTTTTTATTATATGCTTTTTTGTAAATATATTTTTATATTTTTTAGTCAACTACACACTAGTCGCAAGTGCAAATGTAAGATAAATTTTAATTGGAGAATGGTTAAAGAAAATATTGGGTGAGTAAATTGTTTTTGTCTTTACTTGTTTAGTTTCAACAAATTTACTCTGTATGAAACTCCTAAGTTTAACTACTGTACCTGCTGTTGCTCTATGGGTATAATTAGTTAGCAACATAGGGGACCATCTTATTAAAAAAATGACTTCTAAGAGTGTTATTGATTTCCATTGTTTCTGTGTTATAAAGGTTGTTTGTCGACACCTGTTATTATTTTGTAGTGAAACAAAATGAAAATTAGTTAAGTGAAAATATTAATATATTAATTCAAAATACCTAAAAAGTCAATTCTAGACATATACATTTCTGGGCACTAGTCATGAGCATTTAAGTTAATTTCCCATATGTAAACAGTATTAGTATGGTATAAGTGTGGTAGTAGTAGTCTAGGAACCTTGAAGTGTAGGAGTTCTCTATTCTTTCTGTTTAAACATACTTTTTTCTCAAACCAAGTTTACGTTAATGATTACAAAAACGTATTCTACCAAGAAAGTTGTAAAAATATCTATAGAACTGGTTAAAGACTTTTGATATTTAATAAAGTGCAAGTCCCAATTGTTTGAGAAACACTTTTAAATTTTCTTTTGATGCAATCTCCGTGCGCTTGCAACAAAGCTGATAAGTAATTGAAGCAATGTCCAGGACATAACGCGTATTCCTCATAGGATGGAGAAATAGCAGTGTAATAAAAGTGTCAAATTATGAATATTAAGTGTTGTGTTATTTCGTATTAGTATATGGTATAGATGTAAAAATATTTTGTCATAAAATTTATAACGGAAAAGTGCCAGAACATAAAAAAATAAGAAGTCCAGTTTGAAATTCTAATTGCATTTTCTATATGTTTTTTTAGGAAAGATAAGTTTGTCAGCAGAAAGTGTGTTTGCAGAAGAGAGCGGAAGGGATTACAGTCAAATGTGATGTGTTTCAAATATAATTTAATATTTGCTTAATAGTTGAATTTGGCATTATCATTTTTTCTTTTTTTTTTTTAAATATCTTCACAATTATGTAACTGGATCTCTATGTTTATTTCGTTTATATTGTATAATTTTTACCAAAGAAAACTAACTTTATACTTATTTTTACCCAAGTGGCTTTCATGGGCCTTGAATATATAATTCACATAATAAAATTGTTTTTTAATTTTTATATAAAAGTTAATTTATTTAAAACGGTTGAAGCCAAAATACGGAAAGCGCCGAATGATCAGTGGCCGCGGAAATTTTTAAAACAAACATTAACATATAAACTATTTTTCACCTCCCTATATATCAAAATATAAGAACCTTTCTTCCTTTCTACTATCTATCTAAAAAATATTTGTTTGCACTCCCGTACGAGAGTTGCTATTGAGGGAAACTAAAAAACTGAAAATATTTTTTCCTACATTAATTGAAATTTACACACTTTCACTTATCGAGGATAATATCTATCAAGTGGATAATTTTTGTTTCCAGCAGAAATATTTGCTTAGACTCCCGTACGACGGTTAGGATTTAGATTTTATTGTATGTGGCCAATGTCTGGGCCTTCCTATTCCTTCCTGCATCAAATTTATCCCTCGTACAAAGGGAGGGGTATACTTTGTGAACCTCAGGTTTGGAGATTTCGGTCCCTAATTTTAAGGACCTGTTTCTTCCTACTGCCTTTTCTTCGGAGTCGTAATTTTCGTTTCCAGCATAAATATTCGCTTCCACTTCCGTACGAGAGTAGAGTTGTAAACGTAGTAAAACTAAAAAATTGAAAAAAAAATTAATTTGTTTATTTTTAAGCATTTTCATATCTTGGTAAAACTAGATCAAGAAAGTTATACTGTGCCATCAGGCAACCGATGCAACCAGGGAAATTCCATGGTTCGCGCGGGACTCTGTTCTATGGTAGCCATGGTAGTAGAAGGTCACGGAAATAAAGGTGTTAAAAAAACGTATATTCAGCGTATGTTATTTTAAAATGTTATAGACAATAACATGACATATACCAAAATTGTCTTGAAACAATTTAGTATGGAAAAGATCAAACCAGTTACAATACCTATGAAGAAAAACAGGTAGGTCATAACAAAAGAAACTGTGATGCTGTGGAAAGCATGATCTATTTACCAAACAAAACATACCATATAATCAGGCCATACTAAATTTAAATAGAATTGTAAAATATTTAGCAAAAACCAAAACAAAATATCCATTTTATAAAGGAAAAAGTTAGGAAAGGATTGTAGGAAAGTAGAGAATTTAATTTCGGAAAACAGTACAGCAGATGTTTATACTAACTCTAAACTCTAACTTTAAACAGTAAAAATTTTTAAAGATCGGAATATGTTGGTAAAATAATTTAAGGTAATAATTTCAAAAATTGTAATTTTTAATAATTATTCGAACACGGTGATGGGTAGTAATGAACTTATAGAAGTTTTTAGCCTTTGTAGTTAATTATTTTAAGTTCAACAAAAATGTAAGTAAATTTGTAAAAACCCATCACATACGATAAACAAAAATAAAATTCTTAAAGTTAATATAAAGATTATTATACTTATAGAAAAGCAGCCTAATCTTATTAAAGATGGCAAAATTAACTTCATATTCCACATATTTCTGACGCGACACAAAAGTGTGAAACATGCAATTTTTTGATAAAATTGTTTTTTTAGACACCGTCGGCGTTGCAAAAATTACAAGTTCCTGGTCTTACTGAGGAGAGCAAGGTACTCGCGGGAGGCGAGCCTGGCCGACGATGTTACGCGGAGCGAGACTATTATGTCACCGTGGCCGCGCATAATCTATATAAATATCTCTCAATGCTACTCGCTGTTTGTTTTTGTTCGCAGCGAGACAATTGGGTCGTCCAGGTCGCATATAATTAAATTATTAAAGATAACCCGCAAACGTCAATAATTTTTTAAGATAGAAACTATAGTTTATTTACGGCACGTCGCAAATACGCCGCTTACGCGAGCAATATGCGAGGAAGTATTGTCTGCAGGCACATCCGTTAAACTGATAAGAGGAAAGCTCGCCTTTATTGGTATCTGCTCATATATTCAGAGGGGCGGAAAAAATAAGCAATAGGCATAGTACATTTTATTGACTAAGACGTACATAGCTGAAAAAATCTAAAGCATTGAAGAAATCTAATGAGGTATGTATAGGGAAAGACGCCCTTCTGTCGAATAAGTTGAAATTCTATCGTTTAAATTTCGACTCAATTTGTCCAAGCTGGACGCCATGACTCGAAACGAATCTAAAAATCGGAGTTTCAAAAATACCTTTTTTCGATGTTGTCGACCAATACCTGTCTCGTAAAGAAAATGTAAAAAATCTTACCTTCCGGTAGATAAGGTCTCGGGCAAAAAAAATCCAAAGAATGAAGACTGACTGTGGCGGTGGTCACATGTTAATAACGTCATTTCCTTCTCCGATAACGAAGTTAAAATAATGCAAACTTTCGAGTACGTTCCTTCCTTCCGGTTAATTAAGATTTTCTCCGGAAATGCTTATCATTACTGGGTCATATCTGTTTCGGATCTGTCGAAACCTTTTAGACGTTTTGAACATGTTCGAGAGCTGTTCCGCAGTTATTTTTAGACATAATTTAGATCTGACCAAAAGCGTCCTCTCAAATATTTGAAATAAAATGACTGGAAATATATTGTTGGGATTTTATTTTTTTATCACATTACAGTTACTGAATATTTTTTACAATTTTATACAATATCTGCTAGACCCAAATTTTGAAAATATCCGCTTTTTACTTTGTATTCTTCGGCACGTAAGCGCAGTACTTAAAGATCGGCCTGAACAACTGCTATCTGAGTTTCGAACTGCTGGATATTTTCTTCGCATTGCGTCAGCTGCTTTTCCAAATTGTTTTTTAAATTGGACCCTCCACAAACTACCATTTTTTTTTGTCATCTTTAAAAGCCTCAAACCATTCTCCTTGTGCTTGCGGTAGAGATTTAATTTTTCTTCTTTTATCTCGGCAATTGCACCAATAGGTTTGCCTTTTAGAATATCAGTAGTTATCTACACACTTAACTGTGACCGGGGATGATATCTAGGTGACCATCATCCCTCCAGAAGGGGTCGTAGCAGCTGAAAAAGTAAGGTGTCTCACCTGTCGCTAATTACAGGTGTAGGTGTAATGTCACCTGACCTGTGGTAACCGTTAGGTGTAGGTGACACCTGTCGCTAATTACAGGTGTAGACGGTTAGTTTTCGCGTTAGTGCCTTTTTGGCAGTTCCAACCCCGCTTGAGGGGTAGTTTTCGCGTTAGTGCCTTTAAGGCAATTCCGGCCCTGCTAGGTGTAGTTTTTGCGTTAGTGCCTCTTTGGTAAACTCACTCCCGGTAAAAAAAGGGGTTTGTTAGAAAAAGAAATTTAGTAGTGCCTTTTTGGCACTACGAGGGAAATAAATGGGCGTATTTTTGAGAGGAGAAAAAACCGACCGGTGTCGCGGTCGGGATTTGAATTTCAAATCTTCGGATAAGCGCCGCCGACGCGCTGTTCCTATAGCCTAACTCGGCTTACATGGGATAGCGTCCTTTATGCCCGGTGAACCGCTTCGCGCGCGCGCTATGTTAGTCGAGCCTAGCCGAGCCTAGCCGACGACGACTCGTTTATTTCGCGGCGGCGACGATAAGAGAATTCAATTAAACTTATTAAATAAACACGCTTCGATAAAATGTATGATTTATTGACATTTACAAAGTATTGACATCCGATATGTTTAAATTTGCTAATCGGAGAAATATTAGAAATGCGCGAAATAAATAAACATATTTTAATTAACTTACAATGTATCTGGTTAAGGGTTGAATAACATTTTTTGGTAACTTTATAATTTTTTTCCTTTGAGTTGAGTATACAACACCCCCACCATACCCAACCTTGGTTAAGCCTCGAGAAAAGACAGACTTGCGTGAGAGTCTGTAGTGCGATCCACGAAAAAACAAGCTCTCTTCCGTGACCGGTTCGCGAAAACCCCGCCCTCTGTTCCTTACCACCCCCCAATGCTTCAGAAAATACCCCTAAGGAGACCCAGCCCGGCAGACGACGACGCGGGAAACCATCAAGGTGGGTGATTAATCGTTTCGGGTGTTGTATGTCCTACCGTTTTCTTGCCGCTCTTTCCCGTTTAAGTTTTGAGGGTGATTTACAACCACCTTCCCCCAACCCTTCACATATTGCTCCTTCTCCCAGGATTAGAATCAGTCTTTTGGATTTTTAGAGTCATTCACAAACTTTAGTAATTTAATGTTCGCTATCGTGAACAGGTTAGCAAAAAACGTGTAAAGTTTGGAGCGCAAAAAAGCGGTCTCACAAAAAGCGTTTACCGTCGATTCGAATTGCGGCCGTCTTCTTTATTTGATTCGTTTTAAACATATTTTCTGGGTGCTCAAATTCTTCTTCCTTTTAATTTACAGCGGGTACTCTCTAGCTTTTGGAAAGAAGAATTTTGTTCAAAACGATTTCTAGACTTAGGTGTGCATTTGTTGATTCTGTGGTGGAGCATTGCACGCGGCGGTTTAACCTCCGTTTGCTCCCGACAGAATCCCTTGTATTCGTCCTCAAAAGTTTGATATCGGTTTCCACTGTGTGGACTTAGTGTTTTTAGTGTTCAGTGCATGTTTTAAAGTGATAATCGTCGTCGGCCCCGTCGTTTTTCCCTGTTCACGCCGGTATGGAGGCCGGATGGGCCCGGATGGTCCGTGGTGGAAGCGGGGGGAAGCCGATTTTTTGCTAGCTGAGCAAATTATTGGTTATTCTTCTTCTTTGTACGTGGTGGTCAATGACCAGAAGCGAAAATCCTCGACGGAAGTCGGCAATGGGTGAATGATCCTAGCAGTCGAGCCCAACATTTTTTTGTGAAACGCATAATTGAATTGTGTGCATTTGTTTACAAAACGATTTAGAATGTCGGAAATGGATACATTTAGTGCTAAGCGGGATTTAACACTTAGACGCTTTAACGATATATTGTTAGCGGGTGAGAAAGCTCGCGTTGAACCCGATGATGATGAAATTTTATGCAATTTTATGGATGACAAGTTTAGCTAGCACTTTTGAGTCCTTGCAATTGGAAGTAATCTCCTTAGCGAATGATTCGGAAAGAGATCGACAGTTTGCGGTTCAAGATCACTTTCATCAATTGCATTATTCAATTCGATCTATTGCCAAGCGATTATTTGAGAAAGTGGAACCTAAGGCTCACCGTCACCATCGTAGTTAGTCGAGACTCGCAAAGAAATAGTAATCTCCGACTCCCCCGTATTGCCATTCCGAAATTTGATGGTGACTTGAAAAATTGGCCTACATTTTTTGATATGTTTAACACCTTAATCCATAATAATTCTTCCCTTTCAAACATTGAAAAATTTCAATTTTTATTGTCTTATTTGGTCGTATTGGTAGTATAGCTTACAATGCTCTCGTGAAGCGTTATTAAAAGATCGATTGATGTTAACCGATTATTGGCTGTCGATCTTACGGGCTCGGACTATGAAGAGTGACTCGGTTGTCGAACTGAGGAGATTGCTTTCAACATTTTCAGAGAATCTTGCAGCTATCGATAAATTCAATATCGACTTGTGGGATTTTACAAAATTCAATTTGCTTTTAGAGAAACTCAACTCGACTCTCAAGATGTCCCGTTAAGACCAATAGTTAGCGCGGATCACGAACGTATTACATGGTTAAACACTTGGCATCGCTGCTCCAACCACACATAGGACACGGCACCAGTTACATCAAGGACTCCACCGACTTCATGCGCAAGATTCAAGATATCAATATTGAACAAAACGACATCTTTGTGAGCTTCGACGTCGTCTCACTGTTTACCAAAGTACCTCTGAAGAGTTGTTTGGACATGGTGAACTGGATATTTCCTGTCGATATTTGCTGACTTTTTGAAGTCTGTCTGACCGGTAGCTATTTTGTGTTTAAGGGAAACTTCTACGAACAGGTGGATGGAGTGGCAATGGGAAGCCCATTAAACCCGGTTATAGCCAACTTATTTATTTTGAGGAAAAAGCGATCGAGACCTCAGAGTACAAGCCAGCAAAGTGGTTCCGGTGCGTGGATGACACCTTCATGATTTGGAAACATGGTATGGACAAGCTCAACAACTTTCTGCAGCATCTCAACAGTCAACATCCCAGCATCCAGTTTACTATGGAGACTGAAAATGACCAACAACTTGCATTCTTGGACGTACTAGTGAGGAAGCGAGGTAACAAGCTGGGCCACACAGTTTACAGAAAACCAACCCATACGGACAGATACCTGCATGCTCTATCCAACCATCACCCAAGTCAAAAGTATGGGGTTATCAGAACCCTGACAGAACGAGCCCGAAGGATTTGCGAACCGGAGAACCTCCAGATGGAATTTGAACACCTAAAAACTACGTTCCAGCGAAATGGCTACAACAAGAGGGAGATCGAAAGATCAATGAACTCAAGACCATCGAGATCACGGGATACCGAACAACGACCCTTCACCTCCCACGCATATCTGCCGTATATTTCGAGTGTCACCAACAGGATTGGCAGAGTAACGGCTATCACAACAGACTAGTCAGGGAAGCCATTGAGATACAAAAACATCCACACAATTTCAACAGAAAGGAGGAGACCCTTAGACTCAACCAAATCTGAAACCCGATCCTTAGGAACGCCCGAGCAGTGCCGATCGATATCCCGTGACCAACCGAAGCGGAACAAGCCCCGCCCACCACCAATCGGCATAAATACAACCTGCGCAGGAGAAATCGTCAGTCTACGTCCAACATCGGAGTTGGAAGGACCTCTGAAGAAGCTCGCCACTCGTGCTAGCGAAACGTTAGGAAGTAATTCCAATCGACGACGGCCTTTAAACCCGAATCAAGATAATAGCTGAATGGGTCCTGTTCTGCGAAGGAAAAGACATAGAGTTACTGGTAAGCAAACTTAATAGAGCTCTAAAAACATTACAGAACTGACTAGAGAACAACAACCTCCCACTGTGTGCTGATAAATGTGAAGCCGCCTGGTTTACAAAAGGTAGGAGAAGAGTCCCGTCGGTAAATATATAACGGTCTATTCTTCACCGTTAGCGCTTCCGCCAATTCGTCAAGAACCCTGGTAAAATTTTCGAACGGAAAGAACTCCTTAGTAACAGCCAATTTTTTATTTAGGATCTTATTGCACTTACAGGTACAGTTAGCACAAGCCATTAAAAGGATATTTCTAACGTAGTATTGGGAAATTCCGTGTAGTGGTGGTTATCTTCTTCCAACCCTGTATATAATGCCCCTGCGTCGTCTTTTTTGGCCTTGTGGCGGTATTACACGCCAGTGCATGTAGACACGTTTGCATACTTCGTTAGATTGAGACCTTAGTACTTATTGGATGGCTAGAGGCTGCTCGGAGTTGTAACGGTCATTGTAGCCATTGCTTTCGTTCGTCCTGGTATATTCCTGCGACATCCCTCGCACTCGAGGCTCCGTAGCATTGACTGTCTCTATTCTAGTTGTTGCTCCTTAAAAGGAGAGCGATCAAATCGGTATCCAAGGCTCTAAGAGAAGACATGCTCGTGGTTGTTTTAGGTTAGTTGGTTGCTGTTCCCTGTATCTGGTTTGTTATGCATAGAGGGAGCATTTTATTACTTACCTGGCTGTTATTTGTACACATCTCCTGGTTCTCGACGTAGAAGTGGAAGACTTTTAGTATTTGGTTTGCCGGCATTGTTTACGTCCTTCGCTTCGCTGACAGGTGTTTGGCAATGTTGCCATATGCCGCAGTTTCTTGGACCGTCGCGTGTATATTTTCTTCAATTTCTCTTGGGTATTCGGTCTCTCGAAAACAATTAATGTGATTCTTCTAAATATTTATTAACGTTTCGATCGTAATTTCGATCTTTTGCAAAATATTTTTATTTTGTATAGGTGACATATATAACAATTATTGACATTTAACGTTGTGTTAATATATTGAAAAAAAAAGTCAGCGAATATTTTATACAGATTGGAATGAGATGCAAAACAGGTACGGATGTTTTTTATTATATTGGATAATTTAATTTTGTTAGTTTAAAATTTAAAAAAGTTAAATTGAATTGAATGTTTTTAATAACATTTTCTTCTAGATACTCCATAACAAGTTGTGCTACTATGCTTGAAATTGACATACCCATGGCACAACCTTCGACTTGTTTATAGAACATGTTTTTATATTGAAAAAATGTGGATTTTAGTGTAAAATCTAAAGCCATTAAAAATTCATTGAGAGGAATATCTGTGTGTAATTTAATTTTATCCCATTGTGTTTTAATTTGTCACGGTTCCGTTTTATTATTACCCTTTATTGGCGTATTTAAGATATTAATTTATTAAAGATTATTACTGCCGTATTATTTGGGCGAGAGTCCTTAGTCAACGTGGCTAACGCCGATTACTGGCTTAGCGCGGCTTCTGTGGGTTGGTAAAATACTGGTTGCATAGCTCACGAAAATTACAAATTCGGATTTGATTTCTGATGGGTTTCATTTTTTAACGTTATACAAAGCTGCTTTACAGCGAAGCAGTAGATTTTTCTATCGAAGTCCGTAGTAGTTCGGTTCCGGCTTTCTGAAGTATTGGTTTGGAAGTGTTAGGTTGGTATTGTGCCTAGGGTTATTTTGTTTTGCTAGTTTTGGGACTCCTTTTTTCCTCGATTTTTGATGGCGGCAGGAGCCTGGTGAAGGTCATTGGAATTATGGTTGGAAATTTCCCGAGTTTGGGGATCGAGCCTTCCGCCGCGACTGCGACTGCGACTTGTTGCTTGGATGACCCTAACGGAGACTATATTAGCGATGGAAGTGACGATGGCAGAGATGAAGTTCCCAAGTACACATCGTCGCCAGAGGAAACTCTATATGCCTCATGCATATGAGGCATCGGAGGCCTTAGCCAGAGTGGGCTGCTCGCATAGGCATATAGGGTCAGAGCCCCGGTTGGGGATCGCCCCGTGTGTGAGGCGGGGAGCTCTCGAAGCCTGGGCGAGAGACCGGGCCGCGGGGGGCTGGAGAGTTGCTCCGGGAATGGGGCAGGCGAGGCTTATGATGGATGGGCCCGCCCTTCCTCGGACCAGGGAGCTGCTTAGACTGACCAGAAGAGAGTGTAGAGCACTAACAGGGGCGTACACAGGACATTGCTGGCTTAGAAGGCATCTTTGCTTGCTTGCTTGAGTGCCCTGCCTTGACATGGGCAAGATTGGGAGTTTTCGGAACGGCCCTGATCGATCCGGACTCAGTGCACGGTATTGGGCTAAAGGAGTTGCTGACCTTCTATAGGAGGGGCGGCATTCTGGACTCCCTCTAGAGCGGCCTGGGGGCACAATGGGCCCGTCTGGTGGCCTAAGTTCTTGGACGCCCCCCTTTAATACCAATACCAATACCAATAATGCCTCATGCATATTTCTCATTTTGTCTGAAATCATAAAATTTAGATCTTTAAGTCGACTTTCGAAATCGGCGTAGATTACAAATGGCGAAGTTTCTTTGTCGTCGGTACCGGATCAAAATCATTAATTTTTGTATAATGCTTATTTTAAAATAATATTAAATTGACATTTTTTTCACGTTTGTCTTTAGTTAAATCCGGTAACACTGAATAAAAACATTTAATGTGGTTTTGAATTTACTCTAAAACCTACACATGTAGGCAAATTCCGTTGCATTTATCAAATATATGAATTTGGTTTAGATTCACCGCCGTTGGACAGTTGTCATTTCATGATACGTTCTTAAAAAAGGACATGAAGTCGGTAAGTATTGTTGGCCACGTTCTTTTGCAGGAAAAAAAGACCACAGATTCGTTTAAATTCGTTCCTAAGTCGATTTTCGGTAGAAACATATTTCACTTCGGTCACGTCTTGGCCGTCGTTTTTTCTTTTTATGAATTCACCGCAGTCGCTTAAAATTTGTTCGTCTTTTTGTTTCAAAGTTATTATTACACCCGTTAAAGCTCTTCTCTGGAAACAAAACCCGATCTGCTCCCGCAAAACCCTTTGTTTTATACATATTTGCGGGACTGTTGTTTTGCAAACCCAATCGAAAATGGCGATGATGCAAAATCATTTTTTTAATAGGGAATTGCTGTCTGCAATTTTCTTTGTATCATCTTGCCTCTCGATCTCAGGGTAAGACACTGCCCAGGCTAGTTCACTAACAAAAAAGAAAAATTAATAAGGTAAAAAAAATTTACTAAATAGAAGCCCAAGTTGGAAGAGGGTAAAGGGCACCTCGGTCAGTCCCAGAAGGTGGTAGGTAGGCGCCACGTGATTCAAAAAGCTAAACTTAACAACCCGAAGTTCCACCCGTGAAGGAAATAAACAAGTGAATCGCAAACAATAATTTATTCCCTCGAACCTGGTGGTAGGTGTAAGTGTCAAATCTCACTTTCAAGTTTTGGCGGTGCAAAACAAGGCTGCAAGAACAGGCCACTGAAGTTACAAAAACCTTAAGCTGTTCCGAACATTACACAGCTGTCTGTTACTGTTCCGGGAACCAAGCCAAGGTGGAATGTTGACTCAGTACTCGCACTCAACACCCGCACGTGGGCAGTCCCAGCCTCCTACTCGATAGGGGAAACTCCACAACTAAATATGTGTAAGAAACTCAATGTTTCCTAGACTTCCTTTTAGAAGCCGCGTGTGGAATAATAGTATACAAGTTCATCGAAATAAATTCTTAATTTAAAATTTGATCACAAACAAAACAAAACTACGGATAAACCCTCGAATTATAAAATAAACGGCCTACCTTATGTGCACTCTAGTGTAAGACCCCCGAGACCTCTCGGATTTTCTTTCTCCACACCATGTCCATTGCAGCAATGTAGTGGGGGTTACCAATCGCAAACACGCGAAAACTATGCGCGGTAATTCGGCCAAACAAAACCCGAGGGCTCATATTATCGCGGTGAAATGACACGCGTTTTTTACCATAAAGTATATAAAAAATTAAATTAAAATAAAAATTGATAAATGTATTCGATTAACCCCGAATCATAAAGAAATCAATATATAGAAAACCCAGGTAATGAATTAATATTTAGTGTCAATATACAAAATAAATAACCAAAACTGAACATACCGCCCATATGTAAGAAACTCAATGTTTCCTAGACTTCCTTTTAGAAGCCGCGTGTGGAATAATAGTATACAAGTTCATCGAAATAAATTCTTAATTTAAAATTTGATCACAAACAAAACAAAACTACGGATAAACCCTCGAATTATAAAATAAACGGCCTACCTTATGTGCACTCTAGTGTAAGACCCCCGAGACCTCTCGGATTTTCTTTCTCCACACCATGTCCATTGCAGCAATGTAGTGGGGGTTACCAATCGCAAACACGCGAAAACTATGCGCGGTAATTCGGCCAAACAAAACCCGAGGGCTCATATTATCGCGGTGAAATGACACGCGTTTTTTACCATAAAGTATATAAAAAATTAAATTAAAATAAAAATTGATAAATGTATTCCATTAACCTCGAATCATAAAGAAATCAATATATAGAAAACCCAGGTAATGAATTAATATTTAGTGTCAATATACAAAATAAATAACCAAAACTGAACATACCGCCCACCAAATACAACGGTATTTCAAAAAACAACAAAAAAAAGAAAATAAACAAAATATGCTAATATTAAAGTTTATCAATTGTGATTAATGCCAGCTTCGTGTAACCCACCAAAGTGAGGCGCTGAAGGAGGGAAAAATTGCCACTCGATTAATTCCTCAGCGGCTGCTTTAGCCATGCAATCTGCTAAGTATCGAGCTGCACCAACGTAGTTGGTACCGTTATCACTGTGCAGTTTGGAGCATCTACCACGTCGACTGATGAAGCGACGCAATGACGCAAGAAAGGCAGAAGTGGATAGGTCTGATACCAGTTCCAAATGCAGGCACTTTGTAGAACAACACACAAAGAGAGATAGATAAGCCTTTTGAGTACGGCAACCTCTATGTCTTGACATCAGTATCTGAAAAGGGCCACCGAAATCCAAAGAAGTACATTGAAAGGGCTTGGCTTGGGTAATGCGGAAACTAGGCAAATCGCCCATTTTTGGTTCTATTACCTGAGGATGTGTTCGAAAGCAGCGGAAGCACTTATGGACAAAATTAAATTAAAATAAAAATTGATAAATGTATTCGATTAACCCCGAATCATAAAGAAATCAATATATAGAAAACCCAGGTAATGAATTAATATTTAGTGTCAATATACAAAATAAATAACCAAAACTGAACAATATGTAAAAACATTATTTGCCTAACAGGCCTGTAATAAAACAAGTTCGTATCTCATAGGGCGAAGCAGCTTTGTATTTCAAAATGAAGCCGCTTGTCCTACAGGGACGCATTGTATCATGTATAAAGTGTCTTTCACGTCTCGCAGAACTTAAAGTCACAGCAAACTTTGTTAAATATCAAAATTTGTACAAATAATGGCGTTGTCGAATGATATTTTTTCAAATATCTCGCGCGCCCTGTAGAATTGACGAAATCTCAAATCAAATTAAGGGATCTTCAGAAGTTTTTCATTTATCCCCAATAATTTATCCAAAAAAACGGAAATTTTTAGGTTATTTTAGATTTTTTGTCCATAAACGACACACCCGGCACATAATTTAAACAATGTTCGATATAGAGGTAATAGCCCTGGAAGATGCAGTACGTAGTAATAGTAAATGACGTCATCGCGTTTAGATTGACAGCGTGAAATAGTGACTTTCATTTGGATGTTTTCAAATATCTCGAACAGTGTATGTGATAGACGAAAACTGTAAATACAAAAGTTGTA